TTTTAGAGACAGTCTTTCCCTCTGTCACCCAAGCTGGAGTGCAGTGGCACAGTCATAGCTCACTGTAACCTCAAACTCCTGGCTTCAGGCAATCTTCCTGCCTTGGTCTCCCTAAGTACTGGGGTTACAGGAATGAGCCACTATGCCCCACCTTCGGGTTCCACTTCTAATTCTAGTTCTTTTGCTATTTCCGTAACATCTGCAGTGACTTCTCCAGTAAAGTCTTATGCCCCTCAAAGTATCCATGAGATCTGGAATCAACTTCTTCCAAACTCCTGTTGACGTTGATGTTTTTAACCTCCTCCCGTGAATCACAGATGTTTTTAATGGCATCTAGAAATGTGAATTCTTTACAGAAAGTTTTCCATTTACTTTGTCCAGAACCACCAGAGAAATCACTAGCTAGGGCAGCTATGACCTTAAAATAAAACTTGAAAGTTGAAATTACTCTTTGATCCATGGCCTGCAGAATAGATGTTGTTTTAGCAGGCACAAAAACAACATTCATCTCCTTGTACCTCTCCATCAGAGCTCTTAAGTGACCAGGTGCATTGTCAGTGAGCAGTGATGTTTTGAAAGGAATCTTTTCTTCTGAGCAGTAGGTCTCAACAGTGGACTTAAACTATTCAGTAAACCATGCTGTAAACAGGCGTGCTGTCATCCAGGATTCATTGTTCCATTTATAGAGCACAGGCAGAGTAGATTTAGCATAACCCTTAGGGCCCCTAGGATTTTCAAAATTGCAAATGATCACTGGCTTCAGCTTAAAGTCACCAGCTGCATTTTTTCCCTAACAAGAGAGTTAACCTGTCCTTTGAAAGCAGGCACTGATTGTTCCTCTCTAGCTATGAAAGTTCTAGATGGCATCTTCTTCCAACATAAGGCCATTTCATCTACACTGAAAGTCCATTGTTTAGTGGACTGCCTTTATCAATGGTCTTCGCTATAGCTTCTGCTTGCGGCACTTCCTGCTTCGCCTTGCACTTGTGTGTTAGAGGGAGATGGCTTCTTTCCTTAAACCTCATGAACCAGCCTCTGCTAGTTTCCAACTTTTCTTCTACAGCTTCCTCACCTCTCTCAGCCTTCATAGAACCTTGTAGAATGGAGGAGAGTGCAGGCCTTGCTCTGGATTAGGCTTTGGCTTACGGGAATATTGCAGCTGGTTTGATCTTCTATCCAGACCACTCAGGCTTTCTCCATGTGAGCAGTAAGGCTGTGTCACTGTATCATTTATGTGTTCGCTGGAGAAGCACTTTTAATTTCCATCAAGAACTTTTCCTTTGCATTCACAGCTTGGTTAACTAGAGCAGGAGGCCCAGCTTTTGGCCTGTCTCAGCTTTTGACATGCCTTTCTCACTAAGCTTAATCGTTTCTAGCTTTTGATCTAAAATGAGACATGCTACTCTTCCTTTCATTTGAACACTTACCAGGCCATTGTAGGGTTATTAATTGGCCAGCCTAATGTCAATATTGTTATGATTCCGGGAATAGAGAGTGTCCCTAAAGAGAGAGAGTCAAAGTAACAGGTGGTTAGTGGAGCAGTGAGAGCACACACAGCATTTGTCGATTAAGTTCACTGTCTTATATGGACGTGGTTCGTGATGCCCTCAAAACTTGCAGTAGTAACATCAAAGATCACTGATCACAGATCACCGTAACAGTTGTAATAATAATGAAAAATTTTGAAATATTGTGAGAATTACCTAAATGAGACAGAGACACAAAGTAAAACATGCTGTTGGAAAATGGGTGCCAACATACTTGCTTGACACAGGATAGCTGCAAACCTTCCATTTGTGGAAAATGCAGTATCTGTGAAGAGCAACCAAGGGAAGCTCCGTGAATGAGCTGTGCCTGCGACTGTTAATATCCTAGTTCTGAAGATGACGTACAAACATGGAAGGCTACGAGTGTAGAATAAGAGTGAGAATAGAGGAAATTGCCTCTTATTAAAGCTCTATGTAGTATGTATGTACATGGGTAAAAACTGACAGTAGTAACCAAACTGGAAGCTTTTGTGTGAAGGTGGTGATTTTTATTTTTCCAAAGTTTCCTTCATTGTTTCAACAGAAAGGCGGAAGAAGGGGAGGGGAGAAGATGTAGTAAATTTAGTTTTGGTGTTTTCTTTCATTCTCTTTAGAATAACGGGGTTCCAGACACTTATGAGTCTCATGATGCAGTGGTATCTTTACCACTGACTTTCTAGATTGACAGTTTTATGTTTGTTTTTTTCCTGTTGTCATGTTTCTCAAAGTGTGGTCTAGGTCTCATTTTCCAGATTGAATTACAGTTTCTGAAGGTGTCCTTATAGTCAGCTGATGGTGGAAAGGTAGAGTCAAAGTCAGAAAAATAATTTTAGTGTATGTCTGTAGGTTTGATGAGAAGAGGCTTTAACAATGATTAAAGCGGAAAGGGTAAATGCCTTCTGTGGTAAGAACTGCTTTTTGGTTTTGTAAAAGGAAAGAAAAATTCAGCTGAAAGCTTCTATGAAATTGGTTACAACTTAAAGAGGTCTTGCCATGTGAAATTTGGGATTCATTATAGTCGTATTTTTTCCCAAGAGAAACTTATCTATCGTGTGCCTTAGATTTAGATTCTGAACTCTACAAGTCAGAGCAGAATGTTGTACTCAATACACTGAATAGACCGGACTCAGTAGACTAAAATGTTGTACTCAATAAACGCTTGCTGCTAACAGAGTTCATTGACCATGTTGGGCATTTCCCATTTGTACTCTTCCCTGATTTTCCTATCAGGGAAGGAGCATCAATATTGATTCATGGAACAGAAGGAACTGATTCCACACTCCAGGTGACCTCCCTGGCCCAGATCATCTTGGAGCCAAGAAGCAGGACCATTCGTGGTTTTGAGGCCCTGATTGAAAGAGAGTGGCTACAGGTGAGAAGAGCTGTTTGATTCACAGAGGAACTGCTCATTGATGCTGTGATCCTGGTTTGTGTGGTAGCTGACATAATGTGTGAATTTCTGATTGATTAAAATTTCTAAATGGTGTGTTTAATTTCCTGCAGGCCAGTTAATCTGTCTTCTCCTCGTTTCTGGATGTCTCTTTGCCTGTATTCCTCACTTGACACCTCCTTCACTTGGCAAACTCTTGTTGGCTGTGCTTTGTCACATACAGGAGAAATACAAAGAATGAGAAGCATAGTGCGGTCTCCCAGAAGCTGGGTCTTGATGGATCAAAGACATAAGCAGTCGGGGAATGGGGAGTGGGGTCTGTAGTTGCAAGGAAAGCACTTTAGCCCCCTCTGCCTTTTGCTCATGCTGCTCCACCCTGTGAAGCTTCCTTCACAGAGAAAACTGAATCATGTAATGTTGGATGGCTACCAAAATAAAGGTCTCATTCATAACGGGGATTGCTATCCTCCACGGAGATTGCTTTTGAATATATTTTTACTGTGTAACCTGGTAAATGATTGTATTTGAACACAAATGCTTACATATCTTGAAAGCAGATGTTTTTCTGGCAAAAAGAATATCTTGCCCTCTGGTTACAGTTCACATTTATTATGTACTAATGTTGTTACGTACACCATGTCCACCCTGCCTGACAACTGACCTTACCTCTGTTTAAGTCAGACCATCCTAAGTTTATGCTCCATATTTGACGAAAATCTGTTGAGCTATATTCCTCATGGTGCATAGTAGACAGACAAATGAGTGTGACTGACTTATTTATATGTTATTTTAATGGATATCAAAATTCTATGAACCACTGTAAAATTTCTGTGGCATTACCTTTGTCACACACAGTAGCAGAAAGACCCAGAGACAAAGCAGATCTGTGAAATTCCTAGCAGAGTATGATTCGTGTTAAGGTCAGTATTTGGGTTCTGAACAAGACAGTCAAATGAGTCTTAAATTTACTTTGGTCAGTAGATGGCAGACTCTTGCCATTCTTTTTGGGAGAAGAGGGTAATTAAGGACAGCTTTATCTCCAGTAGAAAAGTACTCATAAAGATCTTTCAACACAATAACTTTTCATATATAATTAGAGATTTACTGTCAGAGCTGACATTATAAAGTTGATCAGAGTTCCATATCTGTCTCCACTTAGGGTGAGGTTTGTATGGTGTACAAGACAATCTACAGCGTTAGATAGAGGTGATGATGATTCTTTGTTTGTACTGAGAGCTTATGTTCTTTGATTTTGCTCCAGATTTTGTAGACCTAGAAAGGTTTATTTTGTAAGTTTATTATTACTTAAGTTCGTTATTCTTCCATAGGATATTCCAAGGGCAATGCAGTTCCTGTGGTCACACCTTAGCTGCACAGCCTCATTAAGGATTTGGAAGTGTGTCTTTTTCCTTAGTTGCTGCAACTATTTATTTTATACCAAGAAATCATTAATCTGTACAACAGCTACCCTAATTATATGATGTTCCAGGTACTAGGAGTGTCACTGTAATTGTGTGTAGTGGTGTCAGTTCTGTGATTGTGTGTAGTGGTGTCAGTAGAATGCTCTGTCATGCGATCTCACCAGGATATGACTGTCACGCCTCCATCTTCCCCCAGGCTGGCCACCCGTTCCAGCAGCGCTGTGCACAGTCAGCCTACTGTAACACCAAGCAGAAGTGGGAGGCTCCTGTATTTCTTCTCTTCTTGGACTGCGTGTGGCAGATCCTTCGTCAGTTTCCCTGTTCTTTTGAATTTAATGAGAATTTCCTCATCATGCTCTTTGAGCATGCTTATGCTTCACAGTTTGGAACATTTCTGGGCAACAACGAAAGTGAAAGGTGAGTACGCTGCTCATGTGGGGACCTTTCCTTTTCCCTTGTTTTGGCTACTTTCTAAGTAGCCAAAATCTCCTAGGAGACCACGATTTGGCTCTATGTTAAAGTTAGAGCCAAATCTAAGGCTACAGTTAATTATAAGTTAAATGACCTGAAGTATATTCTTATTATGAGACAATCTCATGCTAGGTGAGAGCATGTCCTAGACTTTGTTCTGTTAGATTAAAATTAGTCCATACATGAATTAAGGGGCAACCATTTTAAATGTTAATTTCTTAACATAGGATCATAGTATCTTACATGTGGAAAAAGCCTTAATTTATAATTTAGCTCTTCCCTCTAATTTTATTAAGAAAGTAAGATCCAGAGAAGTTAAGTGACTTTTCCCAGGACGTACAGCCAGTTGGTCATCAAAAGTGTGGCCTAGAGCAGTGATCCCCAACCATTTTGGCACCAGGGACCGGTTTCGTGGAAGACAACTTTTCTGTGGACTGGGTGGCGGCAGGATTGGTGATGGTTTTGGGGTGAAACTGTTCCACCTCAGATCATCAGGCATTAGATTCTCATAAGGAGAATTCTCATAAAGGCACACCCTAGATCCCCCACACGCGCGGCTCCCAGTAGGGTTTGCGCTCCTGTGAGAATCTAATGCTGCTGCTGATCTGACAGGAGGTGGCAATACACGCTCACCTGCCACTCACCTCCTGCTGTGTAGCTGGTTCCTAACAGGCCATGGACCCTTACTGGTCCATGGCCTGGGGTTTGGGGATCCCTGGCCTAGATTACAGGTCTTCCCCCTCTTGCTTTAGACTTTGTTACACCTAGAAACTGTCCTCAGGCCCAGAGTAACAAACTCACCTCCCAGCCCAGGCACCATCAAGTGTATAGGTTCATTTAGAAGATTGACATCAGAATGATTTTTCAGGGAGGTTGCCTGATAATCTCCTTAGGGTACAATCACCAGGCTTCCTTGCCTCATTGCTGGCAGCCACCGTTTTCTAAAGCATGTGCTGTTTAGCCCTGGACTGTACTCTGGCAGGGAGGGACAGGAGGGATTGGCAATTTCTATAGCCAAGGAAGTTTGGAGAATGTGCATAATATCGTCTCCACTTAGAGGGTCACAAACACATAATCATTAAAGGCTTAAGACACCCTTCAGTAAAGCAGTGTATATAATTTTAATTCACCATTTAAGAAATGTGTTTGACGATGAATTTTTTTTTGGTGTTATACCTGTTAATATCCTCAGGACTAGCTTTCAAGAAGGGATCAAAATAGATTCCCATTCTGCTTCCCAGTTGGTAGAGGCTGCCAGCAATGCTGAATGGGAAGGATTCTGAAGTGGTGTCAGGCTCAGCCAGAACAAGTTCAGTGGTTGGCCGGCCATGGGCAGGGGGCACAGGGCTGGAGGCAGTGGATACAAGAATGTCCTGTCCTTGTCATCCCTGGTTCCTGGGAACATAGCGTGGGACATGCTATCCCAGCAGTTAAAGTCCAGTGCCACATAGGCTCTGTGACTATGTGGATTATTTTTATTGCTTGCTCAAAAAGAATGCACTAAGTTGCACATAGCTCATAAATAATGTGGTTTCAGAGACAAAACTGACTTTATAATAAAATTTCAATTTAAATAAATTCTTATGAGAATTGAATGTATTATCTTTTTGGTTGATGTAAGGTTTACCACAGGCTGTCTTTCAATCTGTGTTAAAATATATTTTTTTCTAAAACATGCCAATCGACTGTTAATCCTTCTCTGACAGTTCATTACAGGATAAAGAGTGTTCCAGAGTTTTAGAATTATTATGAATCCTGTTCATTGTATGTGGATATAGATTAAATATATATTTACATCAAGATTCGCATTGATTTTTCATGTTTGACAATCTGTATTTTATGTACATGTAATTTATTTTCCCTAAAAGCTAAGTCTCTAAAGAATTTTAAGTTTTGTTTAAAATTTGACTCAACCTCCATTTTTAATATTAATATGGGCATAAGAAGGATACAGTGGACTTTGGGGTCGTGGGGGAGGTAATGGAAGGGGGACGAGGGATGAAAGACGACAGATAGGGTTCAGTGTATACTGCTCAGGTGATGGGTACACCAGAATCTCACAGATCACCACTACAGAACTTACTCATGTAACCAAATACCACCTGTTCCCCAATAACTTATGGAAAAATTAAATTAAAAAAAAAAAACAAATTAGAGAGTGGTTATCAAACAATGTGAATAATAAAGACCCTGGGGTCTATCCAGGCATTCATATTTGTAAGCTATCCTGTTTGTTTCTGCACAACAAGCCCTTTCTTACGGAAACTATAAAAATAAATAGGACATAAATGTCGAAAGTGTCTAATTTTTATGTTTATATTGTAGGCTTCTCAGAAACAAAAAGGTTAGTTTTTTTAATACTTAGCTATTTTTAATTAAAATAGAATACCACATACAACAAAGGACTTTTGTGTACAGTCACGTTCTCTGGGTTAAGGTTTAACACCAAAGCTGATGTGACCAGACTCTGTTTTTATCCTCCTGCCAGCTTCTTGGAAGCCTGTAAAATACTCTTTGTTTGGTTGTTGTTGAGAGTTCTAATGCCGGTTGAGCTTTTTGACAAATCTATTTATTTTTCAACATTTTGTTTCTCTACTAAAAGTCTTACCTTCTGTCTTCTGCCATGCTGAGAAGAAATCGTCCTAGTAAGAGGAGCACTTAATAATGGTGGTTATAAATGAATTACTTGAATGGCAGTGTTCTCTCTTGAGCAGGTGTAAGTTGAAGCTACAGCAGAAGACGATGTCTTTGTGGTCCTGGGTCAATCAGCCCGGTGAGCTGAGTAAATTCACCAACCCCCTGTTTGAAGCCAACAACCTTGTCATCTGGCCTTCAGTTGCTCCGCAGAGTCTTCCGCTGTGGGAAGGTAAACCGCGCATCCTTTGCAAACTTCCTAACGGTCAGGTGTACACGCGGCTGCCTGTGGGTGTGTGCTGTTGGTGATATATGAAGATGGTGAGCCGGACGTGGCCCTCAGACCTGTGTGAATTGTCATTCTCAATGTGGGCATGGTTCTCTCTTTCAAATCAGTTAGCTAGCCACACTTTTTTTGTTTTCAGTTCCCATTGAGAAATTAACAGTGTTTCTTTACATTGCTGTTTATGTTGGATATTTTTTCTAGATAAGAAAGTATATTACTCTTTGCCTAAGAGAGTTGGTAGGTGGTTGGGACATGAATAAATTGTAAGCTCCTCAGGGAGGGTTTCTGTCCCTTAATTAAGCAGTCATTAGGCTAGGTTCATGTATTAAACGGTATTAAAGAGTTGCATGGCCGGGCATTCCAGTAAGTTTCTATAAATGGGTACAAAATACCATGAATGCAGTAACACAGATATTTCACTGTTCTTATGGGACTATATGCTTCATTTTTAAATCTAGTCTAAAGTAGATTTTTTTATATATACTGATTTTTTCCAACTACTGAAGCTTAGCCCCTTAAGTATTGAAGCTTGTTAATTAAAAAATAACCAAAATCTGGCCAGGTGTGGTGGCTCACACCTATAATCCCAGCACATTGGGAGGCTGAGGTGAGTGGATCCCTTGAGGTCAGAAGTTCAAGACCAGCCTGGCCAACATGGTGAAACCCCGTCTCTACTAAAAATACAAAAATTAGCCAGGCCAATTGGGTGGTGCAAGTCCATAGTTCCAGCTACTTCTGGAGGCTGAGGCAGGAGAATCACTTGAATCTGGGAGGCAGAGGTTGCAGTGAGCAGAGATGACACCACTGCACTCTAGCCAGGGTAACACAGCAAGACTTTCTCAAAAAAATAAAAATAAAAATAACCCAAATCTATCTAAACTGTATAGTTTTTCATTAAACAAAGACTCTGAAATACCATTTAATTTTTTAAAGTTAGTTTGAAGATAATAAGCACACATTTATTCATGTTTATATTTAACAGCATAAAGTATACGCAACAAGAATGGTAGCTGTTTGGTAAATTAAACCGAATTACCATTAATGCCAGTTGTTAGGCTGTGTTCTAGGATGTTATACTCCCAAAGGCAATTCGTGTGTGGAAAACTATTTGCCGTTTGTGGAAACGCCTCTCAGATTGCTTTGTCCTCTCAGTCTGAGACCGAGTCAGTTTCTGTCTCTTCTCTGGATGTCAGCTGTCACATCTAGTTCCTCTTGGCTTATCTGCCATTAGTGGCTTCCTTCCACCTCAGTTCATGCTTCTAATCTTATCTATTGAAGCGTCCCCTAGTTAGCATTGTGGGGAAATGGCCTTAGATGGTCTTGAGGTTCTGGGTGTGAGCTTTAGTGCTTTGATTTGTGAAGGAATGGTGACTGCTCAGAACTTCTCTTTGCTTACTTTCGTGATTGTTGTCACAGTCACAGTACAGGGTTTGTGATCTCTTAAATGAGAGGTTACAGTATTCTTCCCATTTAGGACTTCTGGGACAACGTACCTAAAAGCCACTGTCATGTTTAATAACTGAAATGAGCGTAGCTGTTCAGAAGAAAACCCCTATTGGGAGCTGAGTGGCCTGAAGGATGATTTAATTGCTTTGTACCAAACCTCCTTGTGGAGCTTAGAGATAAGTAATGGGATGAAATCCTTGTTCTGTGGATTAAGTCCTGCCATGCCAGAGTTTCAGTATGTGTTTCATGCTCCTCAACCTAGAGCTGGGAGAAAGAAGCTCTCTATTAGGTAAAATCCAATGGTAGGCATATATGTTGGATGAGACTGCTCTTCGGCCTTAAAATGCCTCTCTGCTGTTTAAATTTACATCACAGCTAACCATTAATATTTAGTAATTCCTGAATTAGAAGAATCAACATGGGCGGGTCAGGCTTTACGCTGTGGTTCTGCTTTCCCTTTCTGATAGAGCCTGACGTTGGGACCTGCATAGAAGGGCTCATTAGAACCCAGGCAGTTTGGTTTGTAGAGTGTTTTAATGAATCATAAAACCTTTGTGAACTTGCCAGCTGACGTGGTGCAGCCTGGAAGGTTTTCATGCCTCCTTCCTTGAGTATCTGTAAGGCATTATTTTGGTGTGGTACAGTTAACATAGGCCTATGGAGAGGAGAAAATATTTCCTTTTGGTTCATAATAAAAGGATAATTATTATTATTTGGGGAAAGAAGCAATTGCCTGCAGAATTGAAAGATTGCCTCTCACGTAACAGGGAGAGAGGTGTGTGAGCGCATGGGCTACAGTTCAGGCTTTCAAATAACAACATATGTGGTTCTGCTTTTACCATAGTTGTCACTTTTCTGGTGAAAATGTTTTAACACATTTAAGGGATCTTACATGTCTGAGCAAAATTCTATAATTATAAATGATTTATATTGTGAAATTGGAAAATTTATGACATTGTAAATTATCATCTTGTTTTCCTGAATATATCGTAGAATGGTGTTTGGATCTATTTGATAATTTTGTGGGATGTTTCTGAAGAATCAGTGAGCATATACATGCAAGTAGTGACTTCTCAGATATTGTATTCAGTTGCATCCTTTTAAGTACCTCAAGATTCCTGTATATTTTAGATTATAATAAAACACAGATGTGAGTTGTGGCAACAAAAGAAAAAAGAATGTATAATACGTAAATTATATCTTATCCACAAATATAATTTTAATCCAGTGTTTATACCTTTCTTCCTTGTGTTTTCCATTCCTGGATTCAATAGGTATTTTCCTACGTTGGAATAGGTCCTCTAAGTATTTGGATGAAGCATACGAAGAAATGGTTAACATCATTGAATATAATAAGGAATTACAAGCAAAAGTCAACATCCTTAGAAGGCAGTTGGCAGAACTGGAAACAGAAGATGGGATGCAAGAGAGTCCCTGAAAGGTCTCCTCGCACCGTTTGCAAGGACCTTCCTGGGCCCGTGTCCGCCGTTCTCTCCTTGTGCCCTTCAGTTCACTTTTACACAGTAGCCTTGAAGTGAAGGCTTTAGACGTGGGTCCCCTCTAATGTAATGGATTTCTCAATACTGTATGAATAATGAAACTTACTATCGTAACTCACGTTTCATGTGGCCTGTTAGGCCCTGTCACTTTGGGAGCCGGGAGGAGGTGCTAGTCATTTTATTTTTATGTGAAATAGATGACCTATTTAATGCCATTTGTGTTTCATGCCATTTTATCCAAAGCTTTTTCTCTGTGTCCACTCTCCAGGCAGCATTCCAGAGCAGCCAAGGAGACAGGTAATCTCTCTAGGGACTATTTGGTGGTTTAAAAAAAGGGTCAGACTTTTAAACACTCTTACCATAGAAATGTTTTTCAAAATGGCAGCAATTGATAAACCAAGGATTTTGTGTTGAACTAGCCATTTCCAGTGTCTTTCACATAAAATAGCCATTTGCTTTAAAATAGTTTTGGACTCATGAAGCTGAATCTATTCTCATTCTTGTTTGTCAAGAAAGGAAAATCTGTTATTCAAGGTAAATTATTTCTACAAGGGTGATAGGTATGGTCCTCTGATATTTACATTAAGAAGAGTTAAATTTATTTTAACGTAGACACTAAAAGTATGTGCAATATAGAATTAAAGAAGGAATTTGTTACTGATTGAGAATTGTTACTGTTGAATTGGTTTTCAGGTTTGGACCATACATATACAATGTGTATCAAATGCTGGTTGTAAAATTAAACCATCATCTAGAATAGAGTTCATTTGTTATAATCAAGTTACAAATACGGTTTTCTTAAACCAGAGTTGCACCGCCCTTGTCTAAAGTTCTTATTGCACTGGTTTGTATGCGTATGTGTGTTTTATTGTGTGCGGTTTTTTTTTAATTTGTAAGTATTCTAAGAGTTTACTAATACTAAGGTTAAAATTTTCATGTTGACCTGAGCCTTTTGCAAATTTATTTTGGCTCTATTGATTTGTCCATCATGCGTTAGGCAAATACAACTTAAGTGGAGGGGGAAGTTTATGAATGTAATATAGCTCTGTGTTTGAAACCTCAGAAACGTGTTTGAGTGTTTCAGTGTTGGAGAAACAGTGATGGCCGTATTCGCGCTCTGCTAGTCTGTGCCTGCAACGCCACATGTTTGTGGTTCGGTATTTCCCTCCTACACTTCTGTTTGGTGACATTGTTCATTTTAACAAATACAACCAATTCTAGTTTTTCTTTAAAAGGGTAGTTTATGAGTAATCTTTAAAACCATTTCCATACCATCTGTATATAACCATTAAGAAGAGAACACACTACACTGAACTCTGCTTTAGAGCTGTGTGTTGAGCTAAAAATACTGTTTTTTAAAAATCGACTAGCAAAATCTATGGCCACACTGAGAAGCCTTTGAAAATGGCAAATACTTTTCATCACCAGTTGCCCAAGTTTCATCTTTCTTCTGCTTCCTCAGCCTTGTAGCAAAGGCTACACAGCAGCCCACAGTCCACAGTCTCTTTGGGAAAATTTGCCTGCTGCCTTCTTTAAGCTCAGTTTATTTTTGACTTACTTTCTTTGCTGTAGTTATGAACCTTGGAGCTTTAAAATCCCATGGCAAGGAGCATAAGAGATGTTCTCATAGCTCTGCATTGTGTGGAATGTCTATCTTAGTTTTGTAAAAAAAAAAAAAGAAAGAAAGAAACAGCCCTCGTTCTTTTGTGGTCCCTCAAAATTGCTTGATATGCCTGTTAATACAGCTGACCTTTTTGTTTTCTTCTCTTTTTGTCTCAAGATTATATATGAAGGAACCTTTTCTTCTCAGCTAACAGGTGTATAAGGAAAACCATCTAGAGAGTTTTCTTTAGAAGTGACTCCCATTAGCCTGGTGTGGTGGTGTGTGCCTATAGTCCCAGCCACTAGGGAAGCTGAGGCAGAAGGATCCCTTGAACCTAGGAGGTTGAGGCTGAGTGAGCTATGATCGCATCAGGCCACTCCAGCCTGAGCAACAGAGTGAGACCCTGTCTCTAAGTAAAGAAAAAGCCAGAAGTGACTCCCACTGCTTCTGTTGATCAGCCATAGGGCTTCCATGGGTAGAAACTTGCAAGGGAGTTTGTATTAGGCCTGGTCATGCAGAGATGATGTACCATCAAGGTAGACCCGTCTTCCTGATGCACATTTGCTGTGCGAGCCAGAGTACAGTCATAGCACGGTATTCGCATTTCGTTTGCGCTGTCTTACTGAGACAACAATCTATACTGTTTTGGCAAGTTTGCATTTTAGTATTAATTTACAATTAGGAATTGTCCAAACTTCAGATCTGTTTACAGGTTGTAAAAATCAACTTTGGTATCAGTGTATGTTCAAAAGTATCATTTGGTAATCCAAATATTTGAGTTTTCCCAAAGCCAAAAACTGTCAAAAATAAGTCCATTATCAATATAATTTGAAGAGGTTTTTAGTAGTACTGTTAAGTTCGTCCTTTCTTGGATGAGAAGAATAAATGACATGGATACACTCCTGAGAAGACACTTGTTAAACGTTGCATTGGAGAGTTGCCTTTGATAAATGTGGCATTAAACACTTGAATGAAGAGCACGGTGGCAGAATGAGTGAGCAAGCGGATTGCCCCGGAGGAGCCCGTAATAATCACGTGAGAGATCATCAGATTCCTGCGTATTCAGCATCTTCTCTATTCATGTGGAGTGAAAGCTGGTTTTTATATGGGAGATACATAAAGTAGGCCCTGCAAAGAATATTTTTAAAATACGAAGGATCATCATAATCCTCTTATCGAACATATAAGGATCCTCAGATTTAAATAAGTACTTTTTTTTTTTAATCAGAAGAACATTGTTGGTTGATTATATATTTTTAAAAACCTGAAACTTTTTTGGTGGCAGGACCTTTCAATAAATAATTGTTTGGTCAAAAATTTTTATTTTGATTTTATTAAATGGGAAGAAAGCACGCAGAAATAGTAAAATTCAATAGGTTTAAAACTCTATAAATGTATTTTATTTCCAAGAAAACTTAGGGTCTCAAAGCAAGATTTTAAAGTGATTTTTGAGAAGACTTGGGGGGACAATAATAGACATTCATGTCAAATCCCATATGAGGGATTTTAAAACATTTCTTTGAACTTTAAGACCTGACTTAGAGATGGAATTTTATTGCTTTTTGTTTTAAAGGATTAAATTTCGTGGCATTTTATTCTTTGATTCAGTGAGTATTTGGTTTATGTTAAATAAAAAATCAGTATCATGGAAAAGATTTGACCATAATTTAGTCTCCTCAAGTGAAAAACAGGAGTAACGTTTAGTTGCACTTTGAAAACTCTGCTTAAAGGCATAACTCTTGTAGTTGTCTGGTTTCGGGAATAGCTGTTTGAATTGTCAGTCTAAAGTAGGTCATCAGGTTCACTTATTATCAGACCTTGATCTGGGATAAAGGTTTTGGTATTTGCCCACTTCTAGATAGAATGAATGAAAACAACACAAGGGTTTTACGAGCACTCTTTATCAGAAGGGTATTTCCTGGACCAAAAATGGGCAATAGTTACAATAGTTGATCCTCTGTTTTGGAGGCTTTGACATTTATCAGAGAATGAAGTCATTCAGTACATTTGATAAAGTGTTGTTGTTGTTGTTGTTGTTGTCGTCGTTTTAATTGAGCAACCCTTAGAACTGAAGAGGTTCAGAGAACTTTCCAGGTTTATACTATACCTCAAGACTATATAGATTAGCTACTGCTTATTCTTTCACATGGGCTAGGCCTGTTCTTCTCCTCCAGACCTAGTATTCTAAGTTGTTACCACATAGTATTTTTATGTTACCCACCATCTTAAAGAACATTATAAGACTCATTTCTCCATTTACATTTATTCTTAGATGATAAAATATATACTGATACTATAACTTTCTTGTAGTATCAGTTTTCTTTATTTTCTTGAATAAAATTGCTTCTACCTTTGCTTGGTCTTTATAATCCACTGTCCACAGCATCTTCCTTTAAACCAGTAGTCCCAGAAGAGACCCTCTGAAATTCTAGAACTGGGTATTAGAATGTCTGAACTTGTTATCTAAATCCTTTTTAAGAAACTTAATGTCCTAGCTCTTGAACTACACTGTGGAACAGTAGTTTGTGCCCAATTTAGTGGAAGATAATGAGGCTCACTGTAAACACTACATTGTCCTGCAGAGTAATTCTGATGAGAATTTACTGACTTCTAGAGCCATTCTCTTTAACCATCTGCAGGTCTAAGAATTAACTATATTTGTGATTTGTAATAAAACTGAGTTGTACAGCACTGCCTGTGTATGTCTGGCCAACACATTTACAATGCACGTTATCTTTGGAGAGGTGAATTACTCTACAAAATATACCCTAAATCTCATTGTTTAAAACCTTATTGATCTAATACCATCTACACAAAAACATGTTGTACTTGCAGAACTTAGTTTATAAAAACAAAGAATGTGTATTTCTTCAATAGCCGGGTATTTGGATTGTTCTCTTGATATATTTGAATGTGACTCTTGGATTTAAGTGCACTATTATTCATGGCTTACACAGTAAAATTGCACTGTATGGCAAATGTGTCTATAATGTATGCCTTGCTAAAACCTCAAGAGTGCTGTAAGGTATAGGTTTCTATATTGTGAACCTGTCTACACACACACACATACACATATAGTCTTAGGGAAAAAAAAAAAGCTGAACTTTTGTAAGTCTGTGTAACATTTTAATATTGTTTGTAATATTCACTAAGTGATAATTTCATCTATATCCTGTAACTGTAATCATTCACCTTGGGTTGGCCAGTTTGTCAAGCTTGGTTTACTGAATCAAGAAACAGTCTTGTCAAATGCGGTACTGTTCTTAGTGTGTGATATTTGTGTATGGTGTTCCTCTGCCTCAGAGGACAATTGCACAGATGGCTAATGTTAAATTTCTATAGACAATAGTAATAAAATTTGAATATATTTAAGTCCTAATAATTTAAACCTGTGGGCTTATTTTAATTTTTTTCAAATACTGGTGAAGGTTTGGATGGTGTTTCAATTAAATCTGCTACATGTTTTTTTACTTTACATTTTGAAAAAATTGAGATCTGCAAAAAGGTTGCAAAATGGTACACCGATCTCCCTAGGTTGTTCCTAGATTTAATGATTGTTCACCTAGATTGAATGATTGGTAACATTTTCCACATTTGCTTTAATACCACGTGTGTGTGTGTGTGTTACACTGTTATTTTGCTGAAACATCTGGGTTAGCTGCAGACATTGTGACCCTTCTAAATACTTCACAGGTATCACCCAAGAATTAGGATTATGTATTCTACATATTATTGATTTAGTATGTATTAATATAAACAGATGAATCAATGAGGGTAAAAGGAAAGCTCTTTCTAGAGTAGAATGCCAGCTATTAAATGTAGAAAGAAAATGGAATTAGCCACTATTTGGCAAATTATTACAGTAATCATTGACTTAGGCAATGCCCATTAGTGAATGGCAAAACTAGCAGGTGATGAAAGTTTGTGAAGAACAGAATATAATCTCCAAATAGCCTTCCACAAAATACTTACTAGTTAAAAAGGAGAAAATACTAACTTTATAGTGAAAGGAACTGGTGGATATCACCTTATCTCAGGAAAAGTTAACATCATTAGTAATGGGACATATCAACATCATGTGCCTTCTGATATGATCCGTCCAGAAACAGCACCACTGTTGGAGGGAAAAAGCAGTCTTAGGAATTCTGTAGCTTAAAATCTTATATTTAGATCTTAATCCATTCTGCATTAATTTTTGTATATTGTGTAAGATAAAGGCCCAATTTCATTCTTTTGCATATGGATATTCAGCTTTTCCCAACATTTTGTTGAAGAGACTGTCCTTTTCCCATTGTGTAGTCTTGGTATCCTTGTTGAAAATTATTTTACCACATATATATTCATTTCTGTGCACTCTATTCTGTTCCATTGGTCTATATGTCTGTGTTAATCACTGGAAGGCCGAGGTGAGAAGATCACATGGGGCCAGGAGTTCGAAACCAGCATGGGAAACATAACAAGACCCTGTCTCTACAAAAAATAAAAAATTAACCAGGCATGATGGTGCTCATCCGCAGTCCTTGTTACTCAGAGGCTGGAGTGGGAGGATTGCTTGAGCCCAGGAGTTCCAGGATACAGTAATCATGCCATTGCATGCCAGCCTGGATAACAGAGCCAGACTCTGACTTAAGAAAGCAGATCACTTATTTTGTATTTAAGTTTGTCTGATGCTAACATTGAAAAGTAACTAAATGTATAGACAACTACATCCTTCAATAATTATAATGATAAACCCTAGGAAAGGGTGAAAGTCTAATTTCCATAGATTCAGATGTTCAGTTATAACAAAAATATGAAGCATACAAACAAATGAGAAATCTGGCTCATTCACAGAAATAAAATTAATTGAAAGGAACTATCCTTAAGGAATCCCAGACTTTGGACTTACTAGACAAAGACTAAATGATTGTCTTAAATATGCTCAAAGAGTTAAAAGACGACTAAATGAAATCAGAGAAATGATGTCTGAACAAAATGAGAATATCAATAAAAATATAAAAAGGAACCAGGTAGAAATTTCGTAGCTGAAAAGTGCAATAACTGAGACAAAAAATTCGCTAGAATGGTTCAATAGTTTGTTTGTTGTTGTTGTTGTTGTTGTTTGCTTTTTTTTTTTCTTTCTGAGACATAATCTTGCTCTGTTGCCCAGGCTGGAATGCAGTGGCATGATCTCAGCTCACTGCAACATCGGCCTTCTGGGTTGAAGCAATTCTCCTGCCTCAGCCTTCCAAGTAGCTGAGATTACAGGTGCATGCCACCTCGCCCAGCTAATTTTTGTATTTTTGGTAGATGAGGTTTCACCATGTTGGCCAGCCTTGTCTCAAACTCCTGACCTTGTGATCCACCTGCCTCGGCCTCCCAAAATGCTGGGATTACAGGCCTGAGCCACCACGCCCTGCCTTCAGTAGAGTTTTTGATCAGGCAGAAGAAAGGATTAGCAAATTTGAAGATATAACTATTGAAATTATCTAGTCTGAGGAGCATAAAGAAAAGGAATTTTAAAAAGTGAATAGACTTAAAGACTTGTAGGATACCATCAAGTGGACCAACATATGGTTTATGAGAGTCCTAGAAAAAAGCAAAAAATTATTTTAAAAATAAGGGCTGTAAACATCCCAGATTTGATGAAAGACGTAAGTCTACAAATCCAAGAAGCCTCTACGACAACGTCTAATACCACAAACTCAGATTCACACCAAGACACATTATATGAAAACTATCAAAAATCACCAAGAATCTTGAA